TCTTTTCTCCTTCCCGCTCTCTTCCTTCTCTGTTTTTCTCTTTTCTTTCTTTTTTTTTCTTCTCTCCCCCTTTCTTTCCTTTCCCGTCCCCTATTTATATCCCACCAGCTTCCTCAAAACAACGTCATTTTTCCCCTTTCAAAACGACGTCGTTTTTTCCTCTTCAAAACGACGTCGTTTCCCCCACTTTTTTTTTTTTCAGTTACTACGTCTTGACACTCGCATGACAACTGCATTCGTTACACTTTACTGTTTATGTTTGTTAAATTTGACTAAGGAAACAGAGCTTAGTTGACAGTAAATATTACAGGGTGCCACAACCAATCCAGAATTGCACCCCCTTAGTGTTCTGTATATGACATTTCAGTTTGTTTTTTATAGAGAAAGGAAAAGCTAAAGTAATCCAAAGGTAGTCTAAGTATCTGGTTATTTGCACCAAAATGGTTCCTAGATGATCATAATCATGAGTACAAGCCCAGGAAAACTGTCTCCAGTCTACAAGGCTGCTTAACATTTCATTTGGAGAGAAAACCAAGAAATGTGAAAGGTATATGCAGCCTTGGAAAATATAGAAGCAATGCAAATTTCAACATCATGCATGGAAATTTGTGAAGGATCTAAGAGAGAAAACATGAAAAAGTTATGTATAGTTCAAGAACTGGAAGCATGTGAGAATCAAACAATTAATTAAAATAAACTGCAAATTTTTTTAAGGGATAAGTCAATTAACAGGATGGAATTCGTTAATTTTGTAAAGTTTTATCTACATGAAGCAGAGAATACCAGTTTGCTCTTTCACCAGAAAAACACATTGTTTCATTCAATTTAAAATGTTGTATGAACAATGAGAAGTAGTGGCAGGCTTCTCCTGCTTTTATATCTTTCAAAGGTAGCATGTTTAGGGAAAGGAATAGTAGTGAGTGAATAATAACATATTATGAATAGAGTGAATAACATCAGTTACTTTCCCACTAAAATGAAAGGGCCATAAATACTAGCAAATACATTTATTTTTAAATTCATCATATTGGACAGTTAAAAGAAAGGATGATGGTCAAAATGTAAAAGCCTCTTCTTATAATTATACATCAACAGCGGGCATTTAAGCATAAAAGAAATTATATGCTAACAAAATCTTAGTATTGATGAATCTTATTTATGCTACAAAATAATCTCCCTCGCACAGGCTGCTTAAATCTCGAGTTTAATTATCTAGAGACTGTCAGCTTTTTCTCTCATACTAAAGAGTTTACCAGCTGCTACTAAAAGATAATCAATGATTGTTTCAGCAGCAGCAAGGCAATCTTATCAGAAAGAGGTATAAGATCCTTAAGAATGCGAACAAATTAAAAATTATCAATTTATCTTGAGTAAAAATTTAACAGAAGGTTTTGTTCCTCATAGAGATATCTCTCAATTGTAATGACTACATACCAACTAAAACTCATGCACTACAGAACTTCAGGTTTTAAACCAATTCTATTATGGTCTAAAATTATTTTTGCAGCACCTTACTAATGCAATCCCTATTAACTGACTCTTTTATCCTGATAGTTACCATTAGTCAACTTGTGATCCGATAACTAATTTAGTATTTCCAAGTTCCTCATGGAAACCTTTCCATGTATGTTTCCAATAAGTTAGGCATTAAGTCAGGGCTCATGCACCTAATCTGAATACTCCTGACCATATAACTTTCCCAACATTTGGCTAGATGCCTATATGATTTCTATATCATCTTATTATGTTAAATATTAATTGATATGAGGTCTATATTATAAGTAGATCCCCTAAAACTAATCCATTGTCCTGTTGTCAGCAAGTTTACATGACCTGATCTTTAATCTAAGTACTTTATTGTGCTGCATTTCACAAGCTACTACAGCAGCTATAATAATTTGCAACCAATTTATAATGGAGTCAATATGCACTTACTTGCCAGGAGATTCATATGGCATCCCATGTAGATGCCACAAAGATCTACAAAAAAATTTCACTTGGATCAGTAATTACCTTATCAAAATAATCATATATATAATTAGGTAAGCTAGGTTCTTGGTCCACACAAACTGATTCCACTCATATATTTTATGCTAACAAAACAACTATTCATAAAATGAAATATGGCAATTTACCCTCCCTTGATACCATGAAATCATCTAGTCATCAACTCCTTTGCATTCAGGAAGCTCTTTTTCTCTTCAAAGATAATTTCCACATATCACAACCAGGAAAGGTTTTGGGATTGAAGTGCAGTGAGGAGAGCACAATTCAAATTGAAAATAAATAAATACAGGCAAGCAGGATAGCTAGGTGGCTATCTGGTGGTAACTCTCATAGAACACCAAGATAAGTAAAACAACATCCAGCCCAGGTTGGGCAGATTTACTCTACTTGAATGGACTAGTTACTGAATTAAACTTTAAACAAGTGGTTCTTGTAGCAAAGAGTCCAATCTGAATCTTCTGAACAAACCAGCCCACCCCCATCAGTGCTTATGGACTCTGCACAAGTATATTCTCTAGAAGGGAATGTTTCTCTATCTTTTCCTTCAGAAACACTCTTCTTCTCTGCATACTCTATAGACTGAAAGGCGTGTATCCGATAATTGCTTACACAAACATTAATCTCAGGACTCATAGGGGACTTCAACGGGTCATTTCTCCAGCCACTGGAATCTGCTTCTTCATCTGACAAGCACCTGCAGCTGTCCAACTCATCCAACTCAAAAATCCGACTCACTAATCCCTCCCTCCATGATATTCGCATCTGGGATTGTGATAGATAATCTAATGTAGAATTTGAAATCCAAGAATCTCGATTCCCAAAAAATTTATGGAATTGAGACATATCAACAGGATCAGAAGGCATGGTCAGAGAATCAAACTGAAAACTTGAGCTGGTTGCATCCCATATTGATTCATGGCTCTTTGATGACAAGCTTGCCATCTGAAGGTTCACAGCCAAAGAATTGACCTCCGAATCTAACTGGTGTTTTTGATGGTCTTGAAACTTCAAATGTGATGGACCAACAAATCTGTCAGAGCTTGATTCAGATTGCGGCGTTTGCATAATGTTTTCACTCCCCAATGTGTCCATAGAGAATGGAGACTTCTCCCCATCTATATTATAATGGCGCATCTTTTCTTTTGGCTCAGGAAGAGCCTCACAAGCTGTTGCTTGGGGAGAAGATGAAATTGCTCCGTCATTATATAAAGAGCCAAATAATCCCCGGAGCTCAGGAGCATCAGTTGAGGAAAGCCCAGAATTGCTTCTTCTCTTCCTAGCATTACTGTTACTACCAATGCTTCTACTATAGCTGATGTTACAAAGGTCTGGAGAAAACTCGTCTTGATTATCAGAAAAAGGCATTGGGTTTTTCCATACTTTAAACCCCATAGGCCTCCGACTTCTGGATGAACCATCAGAATTCTCCTTCCCATCCTCATCCTCTTCATTGCAAGGAGACAATAGCCAATGCATTGAAGCTTCAGCAGGGAAAGGAACAATTGACCCAATAGAATGGTTAACAACAGCCTCACTTTCTTCATCAGTGTCATCAAAATTATCTAAAGCCTTGGATTCAACAAATCCTAAATCATTATCCCCTACCGTGAGTATGCCTCTAGGCCTACATTTCCGCTTGTCCGGCACCCCTGAAACAACATAGCCAGCACCAAAACAAGCTGGCGTGGCTGTGGAGAACAAAGAGGATCCACATTGTATCTCTGGAGATACTGAAACTTGAACAGGAGGTGTCCTATTGTTGCTGTTACTAGTGTTTGATCTCTCTGCATCCATCCCTTTATCAACAACTCTATCATCTATACCTAATGGAATCGCTAACTTAGTCACAGGAGTCAGGTTTGTATCATTGCCATCATCCGTTAGCACCATGCATTGCTCCTCAGCGGTTTCGCTTGTCCAGATTCAGACGACAGTTTAGTCACGAAACTGTTATTGGAGTCCAAAACATAAGAATTCTTCTTCGATTTGAGGGCGTCTTGGGAACTGGATTTCTTCCCAGATTGCCAATGATAAAGACACGGAGGATTTTTGTTAGGTTTCTGGGTTTTCAGAGGAATAACTTTCCCAGAAACAGTGCGTTGTGGCAAAGTCTCCTTCGAGAATGTGGATTTGGATTTTGAAGATGGTTTAATGGCCGATACACTAGGAGCAGACTTGGGGGTTTTAGGGATAGATTTCAACGGTCTACTAAAGGGGGTTTTCGTAGAAGAAGACTGGGAAAGAAAGAACCTTAGACAGCCTCTTGGCGCTTCGACGGAGACAGAAGTAGAAATGTTGCTGCTTCTGTCGTTAACATTAGTATTAGTAACGTTGAGGTCTTGCAATGGATTGCGAGGAATCTGCTTCGTCTTCTTCTTCCTCCTCTCCATCTTCGAATGAGCCTGTGACTGTGACTGGTAACATTTCGCTTTCCGACTTTTTGAGGAAGATGACGAATTCATTCGCAGTACATGTATAAAGCGTGGGTATGTTGTGGGATTTCAGCAGACTGTGGAGCTAGATCTGCTATTTCTTCGCTTTTGCCGAGATGATTTGATTTGAAAATGGATGGAGCCCGGAGGTCGAAGGAGAGGGAAGAGTTTGCTGTTGCTGGTCACTAAAATTCCCCCTCAGTTGTTCTCGAATTACTAAATTGCCATTATCATTTGGTAAATTGTGTTTTAGGGCCATAAACCATAGTGCAAATAAGTATTTTTCAATTTGACAAAGAAGTTACCATAATGTTTTGTTCATAATTATTTTAGTTAGATCATAATTTATATATGTATTTTGTAGTAAAAAATATATAATGTTAAAAAATTTGTTCAAATAAATAAATTTATAAATATTAAATTAATAAAAAATATAAACAGAAGCGTAACTGAATTTATAGTAAAAGAATTGTTCGACTTTTACGATAGAATCTTTTTAATCAACATAATACTTTAAAAATTAATTTTATTTTGTAATAGAATTTTATGAAAATAAAATGATAATTTTATGATTCAGAGACTATAATTGTCTTTTATAACGATAAATTTTTACAATTTTTATTTCGTCTATCATAAAATAAAAATATTACAAAAATAATATTTATATATTATAAATTCATATTAAAATTTAATATTTTTTAATAGTATTTAATTACTTTTAAATAAGTTCATTAAATTAATAATTTGATAGGTATATCAAAACTTATATATAATTAAATAATATTTAAAATAATTTTATTTATTTTATTTTTAACAATATATTTATATTTTAAATTAAAAAAAATTCAATATTCTACAACGGCTCAATAACTTTTAATTTTTTAATAAAAATTTATTCATTTCATTGATTATAATATATATTAATTATAATTAGAGAGAAACACGTGAGAAACAAGGCCAGTTAAGTAAATTCATTGAAGAAGCTGGAAGCATAGTTGTCTTTGACCTCATCAAGCATTTCGTCATTTTAATCAATTTCTGCAACTTCTATAATTTCTTTCTCGAAGTAGAGAATCCCCTTTATGCCTAATTGTCAGGTGGATTCCAAATCGAACTCCCATGGCAGTAGCGGTACCAGGAGCCAAGAAGAAAATCATCATCGACACTGACCCTGGTGTTGGTAAGCTCTAAAACGATCTGGATTTCCTCTTAAATTCTGCTATTTCAATTTATGTTCTTCTGTGCTTATGTTCGCTACATGTTTCGTTTTTCTTCGATGAGCAACCGAATTTCGGGTCGGGTTTTTGGTTGTTTAATGTTCTATGCGCTAATTTGGTTGGACGCGTTGTAGATGATGCCATGGCAATATTTCTGGCATTAAGGTTACCAGAAGTGGAGGTGATTGGCCTGACTACCATTTTTGGCAACGTTTACACCACTCTGGCTACCAGAAATGCCTTGCATCTGGTACTGAACTCTACATGAGTGTATTTGTTTACATATCTTTTAAGTATACAGGAACGTTGTAGCTTCTATTTTCGATTTTGATTTTGCAAAGTGAAGGAGATAGATCTGATCTAATGTGGATTCATAATCTTTTTGTACATGATTAGTTGGAGATTGCAGGGAGGATAGATATCCCAGTGGCTGAAGGTTCCCACGTGACAATCACCGTATGTATTGTATTCATCCTTCACAAATTCAGTTTACTGGTTGTTTTGTATGTTCTCATGGCTCTTCAGATTTTTTTTCCGTGTTATTCCCATATTCAAATTCTCCAGCCCTTTTCTTTAATTTGCTGTATTTTTTGAGAGAAATATAGATCTAGGATGAATTATAGGATTATTTTAGGTGTTCTTGAAATTCTGATCATATTTGATCAAAGTAAAAAAAAATTAGTGGAGCATTCTGCTTTTCTTGAAGAACGAATGAAGTTCCTCTAATTTTTCTTCTTCAATAAGAATCTAAACCTGAGATTGATCGTTTTAGCGTATATGCTTAATAGATAAGCATAATAGGCTACAGTCAGTGATTGATGTCTCGTAATACAGGAAAAGTCCTGATTTCCGTGTGAGTGGGTGGAAAATTCTTGTTTGTTAAACCTCTATCAATCGTTGAATTTTCCCTGTTGCATTGTGTTCCCTTTTGCTCCCACGGTTAAACATGAGTCTTAGTCTAGGCACGTGATTGGATCTAATGATATTCATCCTGGTGAGTGATTGAGCCTAATGATTTAGCAACTCATTGCTTTTCTCTTTACTGTAAAGAAAGGTACAAAACTTCGCATTGCTGATTTTGTGCATGGTGTGGACGGACTTGGCAACCAAAATTTTCCTCCACCAAAGGGAAAGGCGATTGAAAAGTCAGCAGCTGAGTTTATGGTTGAGCAAGCAAAGCTTTATCCTGGTGAAGTCACTGTAGTAGCTTTAGGTCCACTGACGAATGTTGCACTGGTCAGACTTTTGGTTACTTGCCTCATTTTATATTAAATATTATTCATGATAATCATAATGAAAACTCTATTTATGCAGGCCATTCAGCTAGATCCTGCATTTTCAAAAAATGTTGGACAGATTGCTCTTCTAGGTGGTGCATTTGCAGTAAATGGGAATGTAAATCCTGCAGCAGAGGCCAATGTAAGTACCTGAACTTCTTTCTCTTTGATTTCCAGGTATCAAATGCTGATATAGCTGCTAGCTTGGTCTTTCCACCACGCAAATTGGCAAGATCCCAAGTTCATATAACAATCACTATAATTCACTCAAAAGTGTATTGTTGTAATTTACTCATATTAGGTTGCATCTATTATGGAAATAAGCACTTCCCGTTTTGCTTAGCTGAAAGTAGATGGTTTCTACTGGTGAAGTTGCTGTTATGCTCTGCTCTTTCTTCTCCACTGTCTCTCACATCCTTTCAACATCTTTATTGGTTGACAGATCTTTGGTGATCCAGATGCTGCAGATGTTGTATTCACGTGCGGAGCAGATATTCTGGCTGTGGGGATCAATGTTACCCATCAAGTTGTTCTGACTGGTGCATACTTAAAAATTTCTTGGCAACGAATCATTGCATATTGGCTGCTTATAAGCAGCTTTAAGCAACTTGTTCTATTTATCTGTTGGGTAAATATGAAAAGCAGGTGGTTTACTATGTGCCAATAAGCATATTACGGTTTATTATCTCTTGCTCTAAGCAAGAAACAATAAGCATCGGTCTCCTATCTTTTCCAAGATCTTTTTGTATATGGAGTTTAGAGTTCTTATTTTCTTAATATTTAAGTTACTTACCCAAACACTTTTGAGGAACTAGTACTCTGTATATACAAAGAGCAGTTGATTGCTTGTTCATGTTAACTCTTGACGTTTCCATAGCATGGTGGTTGGTCATATTCTTCTTTCCTGCTAATTTCATTAGTTTTCTCTGTATTATAGTTTGCTGTTCATTATAGAAGCTCGATACCAGAAAATTTTTTGTTCATTAGCTTGTTAATTATCTGAAACATGTGAGTGGAGACTCTAAGTAATTCCTACTTCATAGTTTAATAATAAACAGAAGTAAAATTATTTCTATTAGCTGGATATAATTTTTTTTTTATGTTTCTTGATGTATTATAGCTGCTGATCGGGACAAGTTAGCGAGTTCAAATGGAAAATTTGCTCAATATTTATGCAAAATTCTGGAGGTGTACTTCTCTTATCATCGAGATGCCTACCAAATGAATGGTTTGTCTTCAAGAAGGGCTCTGATATGCTGAGAGGATTGGTAGAAAAAACAGTGTTTAACTAATTCACATTTTATTTCTTGGTATAGGTGTTTATCTTCATGATCCAACAGCTCTGCTTGCAGCTGTTGATCCTTCTCTTATTACTTGCACCGAAGGAGCTGTTAGAGTGCAGACTAACGGTATCACAAGAGGGCTTACGATATTATATAACAAAAAGAAGAGGTAGGGTTTCTTTTCTATACTGTTTGAGTCTGTTATAATTTGAATGCCGAGGTTAAAATCTTGAGTGAGTTTTTATCGGAAATCTTTCTAACTAAAATTTGAACTGTGGACAGTTAATTTTCTCTTTTTTTTTTTTCTCCAAAATCATTCTATGTAGAAATTACTTGAAGAAGAAAAATTTCAAAACTTGTAACCAAAGAAAGATCTTTTAAAACTTTTGGGAAGAAACAACACTTCTGAGACTGACTGGCCTTTGTGTCAACCAGATTCGCTGAACTAACAGAGTGGACCGATAAACCATCTGTAAAGGTTGCAGTCACGGTTGATTCTTCTGCAATTGTCAAGTTACTCATGGATCGGCTCATGGACTTGTGAAAGGTATTGATACCGAGGAAGTTTGCATAGATGGTGCCTGATTGGTTCCATTTCAGAAACTTTCTAACACAAATGCACTGAGCACACCATCTTGTTGCTGAGCTATTTGAAACCAGGCTCTTTCACTTCCCATTTGAATATTTATTGCTCAAGATTCCCGGACAAAAATAAGCAATGAACATTACCACCGGTTGAAGTTGTCTCCTGTTTTACTGTATAATATTTTACTTAGATGCCATGATTAGGATATTTATAATAAAAAATTTAACAATTTTGGTTCAGAGAACCAAATCCTTATTACCACTTGTCTGCTAGTAAATTGATGCTTTAGAATTCAGTGTTTCAGGAACTAACAATAAAAAGTAAATCCTGATTAACACTCGTTCAACCAACAATAAGAACCAAATGATATTTAGTGTGTTGATGAGCTTATAACAATCAAATTTGATTAAGTTTTTGTAAATTTTTTATCTCGTAAACGTACATTTCATATAAATTAGATTTCTTTAATTTAAATAAACACAACAAAATTCGATCTAACAGTTAAATTTCTTACTTCCACCAAGTTTGAAAAGACCAAATCTCTGCCTGTATTTCGCCCAAAACTTTGACTGGAAGAATAACCATCCTTGTACATTCATTCACAATGATAAATACTGCGTAGGTATGGCCTATACACTGTACATATCATAAGTTAAGTTGTCAAAAGCCATGCTAATCATTAATTTTAAAATATTCATTCAAATAATTTATAAGATTTCATTCCTAGTAGTAAAGGACGTATTTTTTTTTTTTTTATTTCACAAACTTCAATCTCCTACATGTGCAATTAGGAATTGACTCATAGTTAAGCAATTCATTGATAAGAACTTCAAGTTTTAGAAAATAAACGGTTTATAATGTTGTGTTTATGTATAAGGTTAGCTCTTTGAGTGCTTCACCTCTTAAATTCCGGAGGTATTATGATGTGCACGCATTTGTTTGAGTTTGTTCCAAAGTTGATAAATTATCTTAACATAGAATATGTTACGTTTAATACATATGGACTCCACATTTTTGTATCTAGGTAATGACAATATCGTTATAATATAATCAACATTTTATGAGTAAATTGTTTGGATTTATGGATTCTCTAATATTCCCATAAATGGATCTTAATTTATTTTTTATTTGAATGACATGTTTTATATGTTTAATTTAAGAATGATATCTGTTAGAGTATAGTAATTGGTGACTAATAAAATATTAAAGTTCTCATTAATTATGATGTAAAGGTTAATATGACGCGAATGAACTTGAACCTCTCTATTATAAAGATATGGATGTTGAGTTGTATTTGAAGTAAAATTTTCGTTTTCTATTATAAATTATGATCTATATAAATTTTCTAACAGTACATATAAATATAAAACTTATAGAAATAAAGAAATAAAAAAAAAAGATTATAGAGAATCGTTTACCTAAATTGAGGAAGACAATAAGCATCAGCATTTATATGAGAGTGAAAAATGCGTGCATCAACTCTTTACTAGTACATAAACAAATCTAAATCCAATTCTAGATGACCGTTTTCATTAATATATTTACATACACACGTGATACGTATCCGCACGCACACATACTGTTGCACAACCATTTGACCCCTCTCATCCTTCTTATTCGGTTCTACGTGTCGTGATCTTCAATAATTTTTATAATTTAAAACTAATTATTTTAATTAGTATTTTAATAATAAATAGTTAGATAAGTCAAAAACTAACTTAAAAATACTGTAATATTTAAAAACAAGAAAAACAAATTGAATCAAAACAATTAAATTAGTCTAAATCAAATTATAATTTCAATAGAATATATAGAAATAACAATTTATTTAATAAAAAGTAAAATTAAAGTTAGGATTTTAGCATTATATTATAAATAAAATAATTTAATTTCATAAAAAACACTATTTTTTTTTTCCCTACTATCTTTAAACGCGATTATAATTAAGTATCGGTTGGTTCATATTTAGATATAAAAAATAAATCGCGATTAATAGAAACCAACAATTAATAGAAAACAAAAAATTAAATCACGTCCATCATCAACTATAAATACGCGACAATGAACCACCCTTCAACCCGAGAATCATTCTCCAAAATTTTCTTCCCCCTGGCAGGTCTCCGCCGAGACAGCTCTAGTCCCCTCTCAGGGGCCTTCGCGTCTTCCTCCCAAGAACCCTAGATTTTATCAGACATCAATCTTTGAATCTCTTAAATCTATCAAAGAAACCGCAAATCTATCGTCCCTGTAAAAATTGTATCAAAGGAATTAAAACCCTAGAAGAAATGGCCCAAGAGGAGGAAACCCTAGATCCTTCTCCTCCTCTTTCACAATCCTCCACTGATCAGTCTCTCTCGCAGTCTTCTTCTCCCTCCTCTTCAGATCCTTCATTGTCTAGAAACGCATCCTTTAGTCGTCTCAACGCGCAGGCTCCCGAGTTCGTCCCAACTAGAGCACCGACTCAGCATCCGCAACAACCACAGTCACAGCCACAACAAGCGCCCAGAATCAATATCCCTTCTCCACCGCCGCCTACCATGCTGCACGTCTATCATCCTCCACCGCCGTTTCACGTTCCGATTCAGAGCCCGGTAGCCATGCCACATCCTCACATGGTTCCTTTGCAGAATCACCATATGCACCATCATCATTATCCTCACAACAACCATCATTTTGTCCCTCTTCGCAATCATAATCATCACAGTCAGCATCATCAGTATTATGGCGGTGGGGAACATGAGGTTGATGTGGTTGTAAAGAACGGTGGTGGTCAAAGGAAGGATCAGAAAAAGGATAACGGAGATGGTGCTACTGTTGCTGGGCCTGATTCAAGAAGTGGTTTATCTGATGATCTTGTCGCTCAGAAGATTCTGAATCAGGTCAGTTTCCAGAGTTCACAATCTTTATTCTATTTTTTTCTCTTGTATTTATTATAAATTAGAAAATGCTTTCTGATAGCTGAAAATAATATTTGTGCCACGGGCTGAAATTGGTGGTTAAAATATGAGGATGAGCATAACGTGTAATCTTGAAATTTGTGTTGGACTGTCTGGAAAAATGTTTAACTGATGATAATGCGAACGGATGTATGTCAATGCATAATAAGACAAGGGAAGAGACAAAATCATTTATGAGACGGAGAAGCTGGCCCCAATTAGGATTAGAGAACTGGGGGAAGAATACAACTAGTAATGGACTCCAGTTGGGCGGGAAACTCATAGTGAAAAAAACACCAAAATTAATTGAGTGCTTAGCTTACTAGGCTGCAGAACTTTACATCTATTGAAATCGTGCTCTGAAGCACAGTGGACATTAACAATTTATCTGTGATGCCCTTTGTTGCCACAAGTGAATATGTTATTTATATCGATACAAGTTTGGATTTGAGTCCCTTTGGTTCTAGTGATTGTGGAATTATGTTGGCTCCGCATGGTTACAATAGCTTGCCATGTGAAACTGATATATTGTTTTGTTGCTTCGGAACACTTTTAATATGGTGTGTGCTTGATGTTTATAAACCTGCTGAGAGTGGGAAGTAGAGAATTGATTTGAGACAGTATTTTGGCCTTTAAAAGGGGTCTTTCCTAGGTCAATATTTGATATTATTCTCCAGGATGGGGATGATGAGCTTTCTCTTTAGTTTTTTTTAATTAATACATTTAATGATCATTGTTGGGCTTATGAATAGTATTTGGTTCTATTTTTGGATGATTTGTTCTTGCTTTTGAAATTTCTGTCAAAGTGATTTTCAGGTTGAATATTATTTTAGCGATCTAAACTTGGCCACCACTGATCATCTGATGAGATTCATCAACAAGGATCCTGAAGGATATGGTAAGATCTGTCGGGATTCTGTTTTTTTTATTGGCATGCTTTGGAGCACTTTGTGTGTTTCTCTTTAAGCTAAATAGTCTTTGTGCACATGATATTTATGTTTTTGACCTGCTGGTGTTTCAAAATGAATATTGGGAGGAATCAATAAAGTAGAGGAACTTGGTAATGTAATCTAGGTGAAGTACAGCAAGATTCTTTACTTTTTGACGTTTTCTCACATTTTCATTTTTACCTATTTAAATTGATTGTCTAAATTTTTACTTTTTCTCACATTTTCATTTTTAATTATTTAAATTGAATGTCTAAATTTTTACTTCTATTCTTATAGGAAATTAGTAGCCTATTTAATTGATTATTTTCTATCTCTAATGCTACCCTATTTAGGATTAGAGAGTATATAAATATCAAGGAACGACATCGTAACTAGTAGTGTTTATTCAAAATTAATACGATTACTGGGGTTTGTATCCGGGAATACTGACCTTGTTGGTTAATTAATTTAATAGCTAATGCTCTAGTTTCTCTTGCTCTCCACGATTGCTGCATCAAATTAGTTTCCTAGAAAACTAGAATACTAAAAATTGAAGACCTAAATATAATTGATTTCTTAATTAGTTTGCTAAAGCCACTTCAAACGAGCACAACAGAATACCCAATTTAAGTAGGAGAATACTTTGCGTCCATACAAAATCAAGAACCTTAGTTCCTTAAATTTTAGGAAACTCCAATTTTTTACTTAATCATGATGTTACCAACAAGACAGATTCTTACTTATAAGAACTGGTGACCAATCTGGTAAGGGATTAGATCAGTTGGCAAACCAGCGGATAAGTGTTGTTAGGATTCATACTTTTGGGGCTCGAATGCTGGGACACTATCTCTATGGGTGAGATGATTTTGGGAAGGTTATTGATGTACCAATTGAGTTGTAAATGCTTCGTACATGGGTGGCGCACCCCCTTGGTTCCTTATACGTAATACACATTATTTTTATCTAAAAAGAAAGTGAACAATTGTTGTTAGACACAAATGATTAAAGGTAATTTAAATGTTAAAGCACTATATCTAATAGCCAAAAAAATATGGATAACATGGGAATTTAAAATTGAAAAAGGTTTGTTTTTAAGCTGAGATGAAAAAACCACGACATATGCTTTCGCTGTCAATGATTTTATATGATTACAAAAGGCAACAAGTTGGCGTATATATCTGATTATTAAATTACATTCTTTCTTTTATTTCTTTTGAATGAGAACTACTTATTCACATAATATATTTACTTTGGTAGACAAGAAGAAGGATCAAGAGAAAATGTTCACCTTCCCATAAAAAGAATTAGGAAGAACAAAAAAAATATGCAAATCAAAATTTTTTGCTTTATTGTTGATATAATTGATTGGGCAAACTCATGATTGATGTTGCAGTTGATATATTTACTGACCTTTGAATATTTGACAAAAAAAATCACGGACCTTTGATTAATTGAAGTACGATACCAGCAATTCTATTAACTCATGAACTGAAAAATGTGAGACGTAAATTAATAAGCACTAATTTAGAAGCTTTTTTCTTAAGGAAACCCATAACTACTGTAGTATTAAAATTTAAACAAAAATATAATATGTTTTCCAATTTTAACAACTTAGTTCTTTGTCCAGGTCATATTGTGTATATTATTAGAGGAAATATGATGGTTTTGATTCCTTAATGTGCTCTCTGTATTTTTTTTACTGTTTTGGAATTTAACAATTATTACTTACAACATCTTGTCGAGTTTTGGTAACATAACATTTTTGTTGAACATTGATGTTAGAGAAGTTCCATACTTATGCAAACATCTTTTCTGTTTTGTAGTGCCAATATCTGTCGTTGCATCTTTCAAGAAGATCAAAGCCCTAATTAATAGTAATTCTCAGCTTGCTTCTATTCTTCGGGACTCATCAAAGCTTGTGAGTATTTTCTTAATTCTCTTCTCAACTTATTTTGTATTCCCTTTCATTTAAATCCTTGATTATATTACTTTTCTGTTTTGCCTTCTCGTAAGCATCTTTTTAATCTCCTTTGTGCAACATCAAACAGGTAGTTAGTGAAGATGGAAAGAAAGTGAGATGTCGGCGTCCTATTACTGAGTCTGATATAGAGGAACTGCAGGTAGTTTATTTCAAGTCAATTTTATGTCTTTGGTTTATTTCCATTTCAGTTTGTACTTTGTCTCTTCTCCATATAAATTAGTTTTATTTTGTCCTTTCATATAAAACCATTTCTGGAGGAATGAATGTGAAATTTTTTTATTATTTCTCTTTCTGGTAGCAAATGAGTTTTGAGCTTTATAGCTTAATTTATTTCTATAATATCTCTGTAGACTCGGATAGTTGTTGCTGAAAATCTACCTGAAGATCATTGCCACCAAAATCTGATGAAGATTTTCTCTGCTGTTGGGAGGTACTTAGTTCATTTCTGTTACAATGACTGCAAATTTCTAATAGATTTGTTTTCTCGATACTTGATCTGATTCTTTTATCAGTGTGAGGACAATTCGTACTTGTCCACCTCAAACCTCGAGTAATGGGGCTTCCTCAGCATCAAGATTAGCAAAACATGACGGGATGCTTTTAAGTAACAAGGTACCTATATATAGTCTTCAGTAAACTTATAAAGCAGCTAAAAATCATCTGTTGTTGCTTGCCCTTTTATCTCTACTATTCAAACAAAATGTTTTTCCGGGTAGCATTGTGTTGAACTCATTAAAGTTATAGAAAGTATGTCATCTGGTGAACTATGATTTTTTTTTGTTGATAAATCTGGTGAACTATGAATTGCTTGATAAGTCACGTTTGTCAAGCATTTTAGTTTATAATCATAATCATTGTCCGCTTTTGTTGTTTCATATGTCTTTATAATATGTTGAAATCAAAACCTTATATGTCGTTCCTTTTTCATGTATAGTTGCATGCCTTCGTGGAATATGAAACAATTGAACTAGCTGAGAAAGCAGTAAGTCCTCTTGCTTTTTACTGGTATGATTGCACTTTGTTTTTTAACGTCTGTGCAAGACTTCACAAACTTGTGTCTCACTTGGCAGGTTGCAGAGCTGAATGAGGAGGGGAATTGGAGGAGTGGTCTTAGAGTTCGGCTAATGCTTAAACGCACAGTATGATCCCTTTTTATCCTTATTTCTTGCTTATGTGTTCCTGCTTGCAGAGTATAGTTTGCAGTATGATCTTGTCTCAATAATTTTTCATCCATGGTGGAAATGGAAGAAAAGAGGTTATACTGCATTTTTTAAAGGAATTGGGTTTGTACAAGAATGTCCTTTGTAATATTGCCAGGATGGGACCTTAATCTATAAGATGTGTTGGCCTAGAATATTTTGTCTCATCAATTGCAATCCAGATGTAGAATGGATATGCCTGGTATGGTACATGAATTTTATTTTTATTCATTGTCAGGCAAAAGATGCAAAGCCTCAAGCTCGTGGAAGAAAAGTACATGATGGGGAAGGGCAGTATGAGGAAGATGATGCTACTACTTCTGAACAGCAGCTAAATGGAAAACCATCTGAAGATTGTTTGCAGCAATTAGACATCTATTCACATGACAATGCAGTAAGTGGCCGTAGACTTGACTTATGGGGTAATTGTTGGGACTCAAATGCTATGTTCTTTTCAGTGGAATTATTAGTCTCTGGGGTGAAAAACTGGTTTAAGAACCATGATATAGTTCCAGCATTTTTAGTTGATAGCGTCGTCCGAACCATTATTAGATGATGAAGTTTATAACCTTCAAATGAAATTTTCTGCCAATTTGCTTGTTGTTTACAATCATTTTTGGGCAGGGAGAGGAGCTTGCCAACGACAAGGATAATGGCCATAGAAAAGGGCGTGGCCGAGGTCTGGGCAAAGGGCGTGGGCGTCCTCATCAGTATCATCACAATAACCATCACAACAATCATCACAACAATCGTGGGAATCACTTGGGAACTCCTCCCTCAAATCATTCAGCTGTGAATGAGCAGCCAACTATAGCCAAGCAGCCTCCAGGGCCTCGGATGCCAGATGGCACGAGAGGATTTGCCATGGGTAGGGGGAAGCCAGTCTCCGTGAATATCAGATAATTAGCCCCCTCGATCATTGGTGATGTCTTTGCAAAATATATATTGGGTTGGGGAGACCGTGCCTTGTGTGGTGTCGATGGCAGAATTTTTCTCAAGGCTGCCCATCTAAATAGTTCGCACCAGTTTTTTGTATTTTCATCCATCTCTATCTTCTATCTGGTTGGTATCAACGATGCAGAAACAGACATCTCCCTTTTTTTTTTTTTTTTTTATAACGGTTTTAGTTGTATTAATATTAGCACAAAAATAAGTAGTCAAAAAGCAAGACCGTGGGGAAAGTAATCATATATATACCTATAAGTATATCCGAGTAAAAAACTTATGACACATGGGAATAATACACTGTTCTTTCGGTGTATCTCTGGCCAAAGTCTCTCGTACATTTGTTTCACTTGCTCGTTGACATCTCTAAGGGTGTGAAGTATTGCTGTTGAATGGTAGTCGATAAATTTTGAATGTTGTGCGGAGGAATTTTTATACCATCAAGAACGACGGTAAGATCCTTCAGTCCGAGTTGAGAGGATTTTGGGTTTCTATAAGCTGTATCTTATTTTTATTTATTATTCTTTAAAAAAACAGCTGGTCATTTTATTATTATATTTCCGAAGAAGTTTAACTTTCCAAAAAATAAATGTTCCATTATTCAACTATGATTATCCGGATCTCTCTCACCCTCCCTCCCATTTCCTTCTTGTCTCATAAAATTAAATTGTGATATGATAATGTAAAAATGAATTTTAAACAAAATTACTTAATGATTAAGATATTTTTGCTCTACGATTGTATTATAAATTAATTTATAATATTTAATTTAAAAAAATTTAAAAATTATTTTATTAATGTGTTGATAGAGAGGTCCAATGTTTAATTTATTAATGAGCAATGGTCAGTTTATGATGAGAAAAATATTTTGTAATTTTTTAATTGGAGCATGGATTTAAAAATTTATTTTAATTTAATTTTTAATTGATAAAAAATAATTTGTTATACAACATTTACCCATGAACAAGTTATTTTTAAGTTTTTATCAATTTACATTTTGTTAATATTGTGTTGTTTATGAGAACAAAAATATAATTTATGCTTAATCTGTAACACCCAACCCTTTTTTTTTTCTTTTTTATTAATTATTATTGTATGAATATAATTATTATTTATGTAATTTTATATTGAATTTAATTTAGTTTAATTTATTTTAATAGACATAATAATAATTGATAAAAATTGTTTAGGGATTTAATTGAAAATAATTTTGGAGAAAAGTGGTGAACATTTGGGTTCTGGGGGTATTTTTAAAAGAAAAATCGAAAACCGGAGGTCAAAATGTAATTTAGAAAAGTTGCACCACGTCAGCTGCCAGATCAGCAGCCCCGGCCAACCAGGACGCGCCAGGTGGCAGAGACACTGACGCGGGAAGCAACACGGGAGGGAGCCACGTGGGCGATCTGCGTGCGCGCGATCGAATGGCTGAGATCCGTTCTGGCGCGTATAGACAGCTCAAATTGCATCGCGCACGGACGGCCCAGATTGAATCGCGATGAACGGTCCAGATTCATTCCCTATTTAATCGCGATTGGACAGTCCAAATTAAAAGTGATTGACGACTCAGATCAAAAGCAGATGGGTATAAATAACCTCATCCACATCCAAACCCTAACCCTAGCAGTCAGAACCCCTTGCCGGAGAAGATAACCCAGCCGCTTGAGAGTCGACCGCCGCCACCCGCCGCCGTACCAGAGCAATTTTCGGCCGCCAAACGAGGTAAAAATTCTACCCTTTGTTCAGAATTTGATTCTAAACCCACCTATGGCTAAATTGGAGTGAAAGCACCAGCCAATTGGCCGAAAAACGCCGCCGAAACCCAACAGTGCCGCCGCAGGGTGTCTCAATTTTTGCCTCCGATGAGGCTCTTCCCGATTCCTATTCGATGTGATTTTTTCACCTTTGTGATCATTGTTTTCTCCTCTACCGGTTGACCGGAGCAAAACACCCAACCGTGATGTGAGCCGAAGGAGCCACCGCACCGGAGAGCCCCACCGCCGGTAAGTTTCAGTTTTTTGTATTTTTTCAACCCACCGAGGGCCTAAGTGTGTTTTCTCACAGGAACCGATGCAAGTTTAGCTGAATTCGACCGAAAATAGCCAACCCGAGGAAGATCATCGCCGCCGTCACCGGAGCACGGCGGAGCCGCCGTGCTGAAATTCTGAAATTGGCCGAGTAGGCCCTGGGTTTGATTTTTAGGTTATTTGGGACATGTGTAGGTACCATAAGCGCATTTTAGTTCCCGAAAAAAAATTCAGGGAACCTAGGGATCGCCCGTAGGCGCAGTGAAAATCTAATTTTCGGCGTCAGATCAGGTAAGGACCCCTCACTCTATCTCCTATCATGGAATCGAAGTTTGAATAAATGATAATAATGTATTTTGTACAAATTAAATAGATATGCGTAATTAATTACGGTTACTAATGGGGCCCGAACCGGACATAATTCTCTGTCAATTCCTGTTTGACTTATTTTACAATTTAAATGCATTATGGCATCTGGTTTATTTATTCTATGGTTTTGAATGCATGAATCACTGCTTACTTCACTACTGTTTGATTTTGGGAATCTAAGATATGTTTGCTTTGTTGGATGCACGTTACTTATTTATGTATTTATGTTTGAGTTGGTAACGGACACTAAGGACAAAGAGGAATGAGATGTGATTTGATAAATGGATAAGATGACAGTTTCACTAGATACCTTGGGAGATGGTTGACATACCGGGTTCATAGGGAACCCTACCATGAACGTTGTCTCATACCGAACGAGGTATGGAGACTTGATCATTTGGCGCTCATACCAGACGGGGTATAGGGACGACCCACTTCACCCTCATACTAGACGGAGTATTGAGGTTTACTATTTTGGTGCTCATACCGGACAGGGTATGAGAACGACCCTGGAATTAAGATTGTTAAGGGAAATGGTTCACGTGTAGCAGGGACCCCTATGGATCCCTATTGATACTAGTAGGCTGGTGAAAATAAGAAACGGTGATAATCAGTTATTGTTAATGAATTAGTATTTATGATATGGTTTAGGTTATTGATTATGTATGAAATTGTGATCTGTATGATATTACTGATTCTGTAATTTGTTTCCATAAATTCTCCGATTGTAAGAAAAATAGTAAATGATTTTATTTTAAATAAATGTATTGGTTTAATATTTGTGCTCCATTAATTGTTTTTGGTTTTCTACCAACATTTACTTATGTGACGGTGATATAGTGTGATGTCTTTACTGGACTAGTGTAACTTATTCCTTATTTAACAATTTCAGATCAGAAGTACCTGGTTCCCAAGCCCGATCTACAAAAAGACGGCGAGTAGATGCTATATACTTTATAGTTTTATTTATTTTTCTTATTTATCATATTTCTTTAAGAGAACTTATTTCGTGATATTGTTTAGTACTTTTAAGTTATTGTGTAAGGGATGTTAATTTTAATCTTTTATTTCACTCAAATTATTATATATATTTTCTTTTAAATTTACGGGATCGTTACATAATCTCATTATTTAATTTTATTATATTCTTATTTGATATTATATCCAATCTTACATTACTCAATCTTATATATTCTCTATAACTTAATTTGCTATTTTTTTACTTTGTCGAATTCTATTTCCATTAGAGAAATTGTCATAATACTAATAGTTACATATAACTTTTTGTTTTTAGTATTGGTAAGACACAAACTTTTTTTTTTGTTTCCATCTAGCATTATACCTCATAAATTATATAATATAAAAAATATGAGATTATGAAAATTCAATGTTTTGTAAAATTTATTAAGGGAGTAAGTATCTCAAATGTTAAAATAATATATGTTATAATATTAAAATTATTGAATAGTGTTGTTGTAGTGTGGAAATTATAAAAATTTTTATCAATCGATAAATAAATGGATCAACAAAATATTTTAAAATTCACAAATTATAAGATGAAAACAATGGAATTGAAGTTTTTTCTGTTCCTAGTATAATAATTTAC